CTAACATTTTAAGTTATTAGGTAATTGCAAAACAATAACAAAATTAAAAAACAAACACGATTATAAATAAATTAAATTAATTAAGGTAATAACAGTTTAGTTACTATGTTAAATTCAATATTCACAGAGTCATGCAATTGCATAAAACCCAACACCGAATAGTTTGCTAAGTGTTAACTTATCTTTTTAAACGACCAAAACTCATAATGTCTAATAAAACCACTAAAACGCAAGCAAAACCTGAATAATATAACAAGACGCTTTCAAGCACGTGCCGCGGGTCATAAGTCACCGGTGCAACTGATTGGATCTCAATTTTCAACGTTCTTAATTTTTAAAACAAAATTCATCGATAGGTCGATGAACAAAACTAGAACAAACAACACCGGAAAGAGTGCGTTGAAAGAAAGTGGTTGAATTTTATGTAAACGAAAAAGATGGAAGATATTTTTTTTGTAACATCGCTTTGTTTACCCCAAGGCCCGAGACCTGCTGGGCAGAAAGCCCACGCAGAAGACGACGCGTGCGATCGAATACACGACTCGATCAATTGTATGCGTGTAAATACATACCAATAATGATATAATACCCTTAAAAATCGGATCAAATATGATTGAATATTTAGAGATCTATGGTTCGATCACTCGTTTGTAGGTTTGTACATCCCAAGAGTGGTCAGGCGCGTTCTCAAAATGTCAATTTTCGTCCATTTTGGTCCCATGATTAGCTAGGGAAATATTCTGTCACCCTCGGCAGAGCCCGCATGTCGAAGGAAGGGCTAAAATATCGCCCTGGTCTCGGGAAGGTACCGTTTGCGACTGGGCTCCCTCCAGCCACGCATCCAACACAGTACGCTTGACACCTTGGATAGGTTATGATGGGAAAAAGGGGTTGGGATAGAAGATTAGAAGAAGAACATCGTCTGAGTGTTTCTGTTCTGTTTGTTTACTATTAAACCAGACCAAATAACAGGCGGTAACCACGTAAAGGAAGAACTCCTCAAAGACTTGCCCTGGGGATCAACACGACCTGCGCTCTCCCCTAGAGCCATTGGCACTGTACTTCTCGGACGCGACTTCAATTGCGAGCTTCGTGTCGTCTTCTGCGTGGGCTTTCTGCTCAGTAGGTTTCGGACCTCGGGGCACACCCCTTTACCCGGGTAATCTTCATGGCAGACTACAGTGTGTCGGTCCTGGGCGTGTTATATAAGGCGATGAAAAAAAAATTATAGCGGCTTTGGCCGCGGTCTGGTAAATTTTATAACGCCGGGAGGTTGTTTGTAATTTTGTGTTTAAGCAAAATTTTTGTTAGTCAAAGTTGGCCTGTCTTGCGGCATTGAGTAATAGTTTACCCGACTCCCTAATCTATATAGAGAAGAGTTCTCTTGGATAGGGTCGCCCGTCGGGGTGCCGTGTGTGTAACTTGCATCTCTTTGCGTATTCTATCGTATTTACCACGGGGAGTGATCAGAGGAATTGTTCGGATTAATTCCAGCCGCTTAATTTCACCACCACACATCGCGACAGAACTCGAGATACCATCCTTACCACCTGGATGATTGACGGTCCACTATTGTGCGATTTACAAGAAGTTTTCTTTCTCGCACAACTTGCTAGTGGAATCGACTCCCAGCAGCGATCTTATCGAACCGATACGACTTATGCTGCGGCTACTCTACGGAGAAATGCCGTTAATTATCGCGTTGATGGACGTTGAATGTAGGTGTGGCCACGAATTAACATGATAATTTTCAACGGCATTAACAATGCCGTTTCCCGTTTGCCGATAACTCGAGTGGCGGTACATCAAAGGATTAACGCGCGAATTATCGCGTTGAAGAGGCCACACTACGTTTGTCTCATTGTGCACGGTGAGTGCCACGGGGTTGCACTTTTCGAGATTGAATTAAAAAAAATACTTCAAAAGTACGGTACGGTATTTACGGTATGAAACTAAGACAAATAAGCAGGAGAAAAAAATACAATTTTTGCAGGTCAAAATTCATAGTGTACAGTGGTACGAAACCCTGCGTACGTGTATCTAATTCGCACTTGACCAGTATTTATGATTGGCTTATTAGTTATTATTTCATTAAAATATATTTACGTTTGTCTTATTATTTAGCTTAAACCATTGGACGTCTTTCTAATAGATTTACAGTGTACGTTTCCTGCGCATTTGTAGCATCCACCATCTTCTTTTTCTTTGTATTCATTTTTTCTTTGTTTATTTTTTTATTTTAAAGGATAGGGTGACAAACAAGCACACAGTCCACCTGATGGTATGTGGATGCTGTAGCCCATTGACATCTACATCTATCCTCGATTACGAATCAAAATGCAGATGCGTTGTCACCCGTGAGGACTAGGATGGAATGCCTCGTTTCCAGTAAAAAGAGTCTCCAATTCTCTACACTCACCATATGAAACACAGCAGCATTAAGCTACTATTTTACGCTGGTATTCTGTGAGCGCGGTCCTTCCCCGGTCGAAACATTTAACACAGTTCAACGGCAAATTTAACGCCGTTCAACGGCAAATTTAATGCCGTTCAACGGGAAACGACGTTGACCGTTCAAGTGTAATCACTCATTTTATCGCGTTAAATTCAAGGCAATAATTGTTACGTTTATGGGCATTGACGTTGCTCGTTAGTGTAGCCGCAGCATGAGGGGCCTTCAAAAAAAGAGCCTAACCTTCATCGGCGGTGGTAGTCACTCACTATCAGGTGAGCCGCATGCTCGTTTCCCCCCCTGTCAAATAAAAAATAAATATTATATAATAATATAAATATTTATATATCCGCAATTAAGTCAATCACAGTTTCTGTACACGTGAAAAACATTTGAGTTTAGCTCATGTTATTTAATTTTTAAATTATCTTATCATTTGGTGGCAGAAGTAACGTTTCGGTAATACACTTATCACTGTATATACACGTCAATGTAAATAACCAAAGCAATAGCAATTAAACATTTGTTGGTATATATTTTGAAGTGCGTGCTTGGTCTTTCGTCTTAACTATTGTCCGTGCAATAAAGGTAATGGTTGCAAAAATAATATAACTTCAAGGCTAACGTTTTATAAACAACTGCGTCGGGAATCATCCGGTGTCTGCAATCACCCCAATCTCATCTACATATTATATAAAATGTGACCTAAATGATAACAATCATTTAAGACATGACTCTTATAGAGAATTTAAAATAGTTTGTTATTCAAAGTGTATCCATAACATTATTAAGTATTGTATTTAGTGGATATATATTAAGTGTTATAAATACTTAAACTTGTGGTGAGAAATTTTATTGTATTTTTTAGAATAGACTTATGAATTTTTTAATTTATAGGTTAACGGAATTACAAAATATCCGATTGTTACTCTTAGAAGCAAGTGTGTTGTTTTTGTCTTTATTTATGTCTTATATAATATAACGACAGCGTCACATTTATGTTAATTTTAGAAATAAACCTTTAACGTATTTATTATCTAAATGATGAATTAAAATTAATAAAAAACAAGCCACTATTAAGTCTATTCTAATATTCAAATTAGCTTGCTTACAAAACGTTTTCAATTAGGGCTAATATTAAGACAATCTATGACGATAGTCTATGTCCAGCCGTGGGCTTTTGATAGGCTGCCACCGTTGGAAGACTGCATAAACTTTTAATTTTGCTTACTTGACTTACATTCAAAAAGCGAACGCTGGATGACAAAATTCAAATGTGTGTTGAAACTTTGCAAAATGCCCGTGACATACTTGGCTACTTTGAAGCTATTTGCGTATCTGAAGCAAGTCTGGCGCCGCGCCGGCCTAAATTATATACTGGCAAGCGATTTAAGTAAAGTAAGTAAAGTACCTCGACTGTGATGAACAATCCGCCTGCCAAGTACACAATACATAACAGTTAACTTTAACGGGCTGATGAGGTAGAAGTATATTAACAAAGAGCCAAACATCTTCACAAACGTTGGCATTTTTATATTATTTAGTATTCTTCAAGAGTAGTCAATTTAAGTGGGTGATAAACAATTTGTACATATTAAAACATAACCCTGGGAATAAAATGATCATTAATTTAGAAAAACATCCCGTTCCTCGCTGTTTTTCTTAGGACATAGATATCTTTTCTTGAACTAATGTTAAAACTTAAAACCATAACTGTCTTTCAGAAAATTTTTTTTTTATTAATTTATTTATTTACAATAAAAATTGTTCTACCTACGGCTTTAATTTTACTTTACAATTTAATTTTTCTAAATATATTGATTTCATTGAGACCGACAGTAAGCTGAAGTGACAATGGGCCGGCCATATAGTTGGAAGGACTTACAACACAGTAGAAGAAAGCTTCTGGAATGACAGTCTCAAACCACTAAGAGAAGTGTAGGGCGATTCCCACTACGTGGAGGTTTGGAGGCCTTAGGCCTGTGATGGGCTGTAATGGTGACGATGATGATGATATTATAAGAAAAATTAAATATAGTGCATTGGGGTAAGATCAGTGATGGGGTAAGTCCGTAAAATTCAAATTTCCGGTGAATTATGCTATATTTTTTAAACCTAACAATATGGTACAAGACTCCATTTTATCTAGCTCCGACCCCAAGTTTCAGCCAGTCGCTCCGAAAAGTAGGGCGTGTGCTGCGCGGTATTTTATAAAACAGGGTAATATTTGTATTTTCGTCGTCCGTCCGGTCTTTCCCTATCACTTTTATTTGCGATTTTTAGCGACGTCCGGTCTTACCCCTTGGTGGCCAATTCTTCATCATGAATATAAAAAATTATGCCTTGTCTTCGCAAACGTTTTAAGCAGAAAGTTTTGAAAAGTAAAAGCTTCTTATAGCTAAAATACGTGTAACCATTAACGATTTGCGCCATGTTTCAGAAATCTGACGTATACGGATGTCAAGATACCTATTATTTATTTAAATTTTCCTCTAAGGAATTATTTAGCCAAAGAAACAGTTATCAAGTTAATTCCATTTAATTACAGAAAATGAATTTCAACAAACACGGAAGTGATGCAGTACATTGGTATATGCACGACTTGGCATGCCGTGTGGTCGCTAAGTCGGGTATTGCTACAGACAATTATCACGCGGGGAAACTAATCCTGCAGAGTTTAAAAGAAGCACCTAATCTTATTTTGCAGGTATTTTTAAAGATAACTTATCAATGCTGCGTTTTAATCTTTTCAGATGAAATACAATCAAAATTTCATGTCGTATTATTTATAGTACTGTTGCAAGCCATAAGTAATGCCACTAGCGCCATCTAGTGTTGGGTAGCAGAGCGGGAAGAGCTTTCTAAAAAGTTCCATGCTAGAACATTTCCACTAGCGCCATCTTGTATCGAGTGGCGGAACTGGGATACAACTTTCTACACCTGGTCGGTCGGGACCGGTATGTACGCGAGCATTCTGGATGTTTCAGTAGAAAAGATCCTATGTGAAGGCGTTAAGGACCGCGACCGGGGCAGTATTGAATTGGCGATACAAGTGAAAACTTAGGAGCGAAATAAAGTGAACTAAAGTATTAAGTGTGATTAATGATTAGTGTGTTTTAAGTTTTTATTGGTATTCGGCAATTAAAGTGTTAATTTTGGTAATTCAATCGGCAGTTTTTACTGTCACGAACCCTAAGCTCGTAACAATTGGTGTCAGAAGTGGGATAAAATCATGCCGATTTTACCTAAGCGAATTGTAGAAAGGGAAGGTTAGCGATTTTGCGGTATTGCGGCTAACAGCACCACCCAGCAGCAGAAAGTATACGATTTTGTGATCGAACACCGCAGCGGGAAATCTCATGGAAACGCAGATGCATTGTCAAGAAGACCTTGTCCTGAAGATTGCACGCATTGTACTAGGCAAGAGGGTAAGAAAGTGGTATGTGTGATGATGCTTAGGACAGACCACCCTAGCAACGAGTGGAGGGACAGCCTAAAACATGCACAGCAGGAAGATTCGGATATCAAGCCAATTCTGGAATGGATGAATGCCAGTGCTCCTGAACCCAATTGTAGTGACGTCTCAGCTCAGGATGGAGTTCTGTGCCGTAAATAGGAAAGTGGTCGGGGAGACAGCTGTCATTTGCAAATATTATTACTATATTCTACAGCTGTACCATAATGATTGTTCAGGAGGCCATCTGGGAGTTAAACGAACTCTACTAAAGATCTGAGAACGGTTTTACTGGGTCCACTGTCGAGATGAGGACTGGTGTCGCAAATGTGCTAGTTCTGCGGTTATAAAGGGACCTCAGACTAGTAGTAGAGGTGCATTGAAGTTGTAACAATGTTGGTGCACCATGGGAGAGAATAGCAATTGACGTGGCAGCGCCGTTTCCGGAAAGTGAATGTGGTAACAAGTATTTCATGGTTTTGATGGATTATTTCACTAATCGGCCAGAAGTCTTCATCATTCCAAATCAAGAAGCTTCAACAATTGCAGATAATCTAGTTCTATCGTTTTGGAGTATCTTTAAAGATTCACAGCGATCCAGGAAGAAATTTTGAATCTCGAATATTTCAGGAAACTTGCCGAGATATGGGTACTCATAAAACAAGAACAACTTCTTACCACCCGCAATCTGATGGAATGGTATAACGATTTAATCAGACATTAGAGATGTACCTAGCAAAAGTTATGGAAAATCGGCAACAAGATTAGGACAAGCACATACAACTGTTTTTGTTGTCATATCGAAGTGCTGTTCACGAAAGTAGGTACATCAGTGACAACATCTTTCGCAAACTTTGGAAGAGAATTACGGCTGCCTGTAGACCTGATCACCGAAATACCACCTGATGCCTCACGCAGTATAACCGATTGTACAAATGACTTGTGGCATTAGCTCGCGGCCTTGCAGGCCGCGAGTCCTGAGACAAGATGAAGCTGTAAGAGTCGCATAGACTAACAGCACTAACATCAAGATAATAGACTTGCGGAACAAAATGAATGACATTTATGAGCACCTCAGACAATCGGGCAAGCAAAAGTCTGAAAAGAAAAAAATGCGGTACGACCGCAAAATGAACAACAAAGGTCCGACGAAGGTTCACTAGTGTGGTTTCACAATCCAGTCCGCAGCAAATGGAAATCTCCTAAGCTTCAAGCTAAATGGGAAGGACCGTACCAAATTGTGACAAGGATCCAGATAAGATAGTCCATATTGATTGACTGGCGCGTTGTTATGGAGCCGATAATGCTCGAGACGAGCATGTCTTAGGAGGGGACAGTGTTGCAATCCATAAGTAATGCCACTAGCACCATTTAGTGTCGGGTACCAGAGCGAGGATAGCATTCTAGAAAGTTCCATGCTAGAATTTTCCCACTAGATTGTGCCCCCGCACACTCGTTCTTAAGGGACTCAATCACTGTGGAGACTTCGGTTGTATCGGTTGGGAAGAGATACATTGAACCCTGATGACAAATTTGATTATTAAATTCAGAGGTCAAAGTTTCCTCTGTAATTTGTAAACTATTTAGGATTTTATCTATATAATTTTTTACCTATTGTGGAGAAGTTTTGATTACATAGGTTCAGTGAGTCTCGCTGGTTACCTTTAACCTTTATGAGTTCACTGGCATCAGTATTAATTTTACGTATCTCACTCTAACGAGGCGTTGTTGTACTTACAGGTATTATTAGCCTGACCAGGTATATTTGCCTGACTCCAATAAAACAGATACTCTAATAGTTTATTCCTGCACACAAATTTATTTATTTACTTTCACAACCTATGCCACACTCACAAATGTTTTTTATACTTTGCCAGAGTTTTTTAGGGTTCTTATTATGTTTTTGAAATTCTGAATTTTCATAGTTCGCTTTGACTCTATGTAATAGATCATTGCAGAAATTACGGCATCGTTTGTACGTTAGTTCTAGAGCGAGATCATTTGGGTTTTTTTTTACTCGACTATGTAACCTGTCGCGATGATGCATGCATCTCATTAGGCCAGGGGTTATCCAAGGCCTAAGATTGAACTTTGAGCGACTAATCCTAACTCGACGAGTGTGTAAGCGTGTCGACGTTTCAATCAGGTTATGCATGCTATTCACCGCATCATTGACGTCACTTGCACCGATAATTGATGATCAATCTTTGTTTTTCAAATACGCAAGAACCCCATCAAAATCAGTGATAGATCTTACCCTGCTAATCTCAGTCGCTTTTCTATTAGACAACCCTAAGCCTATCATTGTTAATTTGTGATCAGTTAATGCAGAATCACAGACTATACCGATTGCTGGTTTTAGTGGTAGAATTAGTAAAAATGTGATCCAGACAAGAGTTGTTTCTCGTGGGTACGGTTATAGCTGGAATCAAACCATGGCTAGCCATTAAACACAGATAGTCAGATCGATGAGAGTCTAATTCTTCAGATAACAGATTTATATTAATGTTACCAGCTACAATAATAGGAATAGGAACTTTAGTGTTAGAATGAATTGTAGAATCAAGTGATTGTATAAAACGGTCCGGATTATTGAACAAAGGAGATCGATAAATCCCAAGAAGTGTAAGTGTATTTTCTATTGTTATTTGCGGACAATTTGCGTCATCCAATGTAGGTTCCGATACAGAAACCAGTTTCCAATTAAAAGGGTATCCAGTTCTTTACACTCAACAAACGAAACACAGCAGCGTTAAGCTGCAGCATGGCTCTACCACGTAAAATACTGTAACTTTACATTTCAGTAATAAATATATAAATAAACAGAGTATTTAAATTATATATTACATCTGTACATCTAAAAACCTGCTGTTGCCAACCTGATGGCCAAGCGTGGCAAATACCCCCCATGGAATCAGAGTACGAAGCCTATCCAAATGCAGTGAGGTGTAAGGTGTAAGACAGGATGACGTTTTATCCCCGATACTCTTCGCAAAATGTATTCATCAATATCATTAAAAAATCCGGTATTATATTATATTCTGGACATTGGTAAAACTTGAATATAGGTAGCCTGGCCTTAACTGACCTAATCTCTTTGGAGCTGAAACTAGGAGGGCTAACTTCAGTCTCATATCTTTTATATTCAAAATGCGTGGTAATGCATTATTTTAACTGATTTTACTGCGCACGTACACATTTGTAAGTGTCGATCGTAAGGCAAAAACGTTCAAATACTGCAATGGCGTTATATCATTATTTATATACTTGAACTTAAGTTTAAATTTGGCTATTGCTACGTGTTCTATTAGTTGATAACTAGTATCTGCTTCGAAACTCTGTTTAAGTTCCATGGAAAATATGCAAACTAAATATGAAATATGTGTATGTACTTCGTATAACGAATACTGTATTGGGACTTCTGTAAGTAAGATTCCTTATGAACCGCAGTTTAAGCCTGAGACTATCAACTAAACGTGTTTTGCAATAATGTCAAATCTGTTTGTGTTGTTCACTGAAAATAAATGCTACGGATTTTTTTACATGGAAATTCTTCAGTTTTGAACAGGATATGAAATGAAATAAAAATTAAAAAAAACTGTTTTATTTTTCATAGTAAATAATTAAAATTTCTCTACTCAACCGTCAACATATTTTTAATCAACTTTCAAAAGGAGGTGTCTCGGTCCGAAAAAAAAGTATGAAAGAAAGTGTAAGGGTATCATCTTTTTAGATGTTTTTAAAAAGCCAGTAATATGTAACAAAAAACGTGAAATACCACGCGAAAGGTATGTGGTGTACAAACGTGGCAGCCATCAACCTCCTCGACCATTTTAAAGGGTTTTTAAAATAGTACTTTGTTATTAGGCATATACATATATTATAGAATTTAATATAACCCGATATTTATGTGAAGTAATCCCATCGGGACGGATCTAAAATGCAATTTATATAAGACCTCATAATAGGTAAAAAAAATATTTCTGTTTTTGAGGAAATAAGGAAATATAAACTAACTTTTTCTCCCATTGGCAACCCTACCAGCTCAAGCATAGGACTATACGAAATAAGTAAAAGCATAAAATTCACACAACGCGGGACATTTATCTAAAGGTTAACAATTACAGATTGACGGCGCTACTGGAGAATCTGAAACATTTCAATGCGCTTTGGAGAGATCAGTCCGGTGTGCGACTGCCTTTCGAAACATAGGATTAAAACCGAATGATGTTATAATTATTATGGCTCCTCTTAACATTAATCTGACTACTTCCATGTATGCTGCTTTCTATATGGGGATAGGTGTAGCTGGTGTGGACCATTTGCTTGGTGTCAGTAAGTATAATTTGCATCCTAAAGATGCGTTAGTTGTATACGGTTTCCTCCGGCTAAAACTAGATCTAGTAGTCCGATTTGTAACAAAATAGCTATTAATTTTGTTAACTTTAGTTAAACCAGGATCATTATTTCTTTTGGAATTACCAGTACCGTGAATTAATCGAATAAACCTAAATTTAACCAACCACAAGCGGGAGATATAAAAACCATCATTATTTAAATTAAAGGTTATTCAAAATAATAAATTTTTGGGAATAAATATTGATACACATCTAAACTGGAAGGAGCATATTGATATCGTTTGTAAAAAGCTTCAACGTTTTGCTTTCGCTTTAAAAAGTGTTAGGCAAAACATATCAATTGAGGCTGCTCTCACCGCGTACCACGGCTACGTATCATCGGTGCTTAGCTATGGGATATTGCTTTGGGGTAACTTTGTTGAAGTAGAAAGAGCACTTTTAGTTCAAAAACGATGCATTTGTGCCTTAAGCAACATTTGGTATTTAGATAGTTGTAAACCTTACTTTAAAAAATATAATATTCTTCCATTACCTTTTTTATATATCAGAGAAGCCTGTCTTTTCGTCAAATCTTTCCCTAAGTATTTTAAAACCCACCAAGATATTACAACAAGGCGTTTAAGAAGTAAATATGACTTAATATATCAACCTCCCTGTAATAAAGATATGTATAAGAAAAATGTATATAACATGAGCATATTGTTATATAACACACTACCCATGAATTTAAAAAAAAAAGAAAAAAAAATTAAATGACTTACGTGCTTCACTTATATATATTTTTTGTTTTAAATATTTGCACGTCTGCGAGCAGACTAAGCACATGTCCATTATAGATATTTAATTAAGACCCTGTCAACTGTGTTTCATGCAAATAAAGACTTTGATTTGAAAGACTGAGATAAAACGTTTTTGTTTCTTTTCTTTAGAGGAATTAAAAGATACAATCCAAATTTGTTTGCCAAAAATGATATTTTGCCAAAGTGAAAAAGTGGCTGTCGTCGGGGAAGCTTTGAAACATCAAAAATTGGACGTGACAGTCGTTACATACGACAAAGGGGACACTCATTGCAGTTTTTCTGAGTTCCTGCAAAAATATGGGGATAATACACCAGTAGATGATTTCCAGTATGTATTTATAATTACTTAACAATATTTTAAGTAATTTCTTAAGGAATTTGACATACAAAATTATTTATTCGTTATAGCTTACTTAAGGACACTGCCAGACGTAGGCATCGCCAAAGATGTCGCACAAGGGGGGTATTGGCAATATTTGCCACGCTTAGCAGGCGGTTTGGCAACCGCAGCTGTTTGTTACATGAAGGTGCTGAAGTCCATGTCAGGCAACGCGCCAGGTGTTCCCTTCTGCTGCCTCTCACGGCACCCACAGAGCGATATGCAGCAGTACTGCAGTAGATATTCTCACACTGCCACTGCGCTGTAAGGAAGCATGAGTATGAACAATACATATTTGATAATGAAGTTTTTAATTTTATCGCGTTTATTAATATTTATATTAAATATCTACCTCATTGGTCTAGTGGTTGTAGTAGTGCGACTGCTGATCATGAGGTCCTGGGTTCGAATCCCGGGTCGGGCCAAATATCAATTAATGAGTTTTTCCGTCGCGAAATTCTCAGTAGTTGCCCGAGTTCAGGAAGTTAGCGGTATCTCACCCCCGTGCCTCGGAAAGCACGTAAAGCCTTTGGTCCTGCGCCTGATCTCTCTCAAGTCGTGTCGGTTTACCGTCCCTTCGGATTATGAGAGTGAGGGAATAGAGAGTGCACCTGTACTTGCGCATACACTTGGGCACTATAATCCTGTCCTGCCCCGATGGCTAGCCTCCGTTGAGGCAGGCCGCCGTGGCCGAAATCAGGTCTGGAGGACATTATTATTATTATTATTATTATTATTATACATATTCATTAAATTTAGAGTCATAATATTTAACGTCAAAAAAGTATTTCTCTGTTTTACTCAACAAACGATAATTAAATTGCACTGTTAACCTGACGTTAATATCTTTAAAAATATTTTTGTACCTAATAACTTTTAAAATAGGTTTCATTAAACCACTTGAAAGTCAGTATTTCATGCATAAACAATATTGGCAATTAATATTGAATTGGCATAGCGCTTTTGACATTTTTAATATCTATCTCCACTTTCAGTTGTTATAAACTTATTCACCTTTTAACTGTATGCGTAAGGTAATTAAGTGATTAGATATACAGAAATAAAGAAATTTTAAAATTATTTCAGGCCTGCCAACATAGACCCGGAAGAGGCAATTAGCGTACTACTAGCAACGAGTGGCACCACTGGAATGCCGAAATATGCAGCCATCACTCACAAAAACCTAGTGCTTGCGTCGCCTTACCCTTGGTAAATTTAAAACCTTTTGATAGTTTGCTGTTTTAAATATTATTACTAAGAACATACATACAATTGCAATATATGTGTCGTCAAGGCAATAGTGATAGGCTTTTGTTACGCTAAGAAAGTGCGATTAACCATTTAAGGGCTTAATCATTCATCGCCACCAACAAGCGCTGGCTTATATCTCTCTCGCTTACAACTCTCTGAGGCAGCACTTAGGAGTACCACGTCCCTAGTGGCGGTGACACCTAAGGTTATTTATAAATAAAACAAAAAATGTTTTAAGAAATGTTTATTAAATTATGACTTATATTAGATAACAAAGTTAGAAATCAAATTAAATTAACAAAAATGCAACCTCTGCTAAAAATAATTAATATAATCAATCAAACTTTGGTAACAAAAAATATAATTTTAAAAAGTGGCACCTAGTACCGGATGAATATTTGTGCCATACCCCTAGTACCGGACATTTCAAAATAACCTGCATCGATCACATATGAAGCCATCTCCACACTCTGGAATGTCTACAAATGCTTCATGGCACGACACGACAGGATGAGCACTGGATCCAGTCTTCGTCAGTGTCTTCTAAGCAGACTACGCAAATTGTTATGTTTGTGTTAGATGTTTCAGTTAATGGTTCTACTTCACTTCCTTTCTTTCCTTTAGGTTTCACGTTTGTCGCTTCTTTTCCCTTGTCTACGCTCTTTCCTTTGGTTTGCTTTCCTTTACCTCCTGTTGCTACTTCAAACTTAGATTTTATTTCCTTCTTTTTTATCTTTCATGTTCTTTTCGTTTTCTTTTACTTCTGCCACTTTTTTGTACGGCGATGAAGTTAAAATTTCACTTCGTTCACTCTTTCTTTTTCGAGCTGATGTTCGTTTTTTTTTGCTGCGTCAGGCAACGGTGATAAGTTATGGATTATCTGAACAAGATCGGAAGCAGAACTTGTCGACGGTTTAGGACTTGTGGTTATAGGCTCACTAATAGATTGTTCAGATTCTTTCATTTGCTCTTCTATGATTAAGTTTGATACCACGACAGCTTGTTCGTTGTTTAGTGCGTTCGATGAAGTTTCTGTTTGTTCTAATGGTATATTGGTCATATCTGCAGCCAAATAATCTAGGTCAGAAAATAAATGTCTGTCAAATGGATGGATTCCAGTGCATTTGAATCCAGATACTGCAATATCCAATCGAGCTACTTTTATAAATGCTTCTTTGACCAAACCAGCAATGTCGTAATCCGTTATCCGACATCCAGCATTTGTTCTCATCCACAAGTCGCATCGTTGGCTGTATGCATCTTTAAATGGATTCATAAATCTCCTGTCCAGAGGATGGAGCTTGTGCGTAGTGTGTGGTGGTAAAAAAAAGTCACTATTCATCCACCCTTTTGGCTGGGCCACACCGATGCTCTCAGCTGGAGCATTCGCCATAAGCCTTTCATTCATTCTTTGCCTAGGAAATACGAAACGATCTTGTACCTGTGTGCCCCCCCGCGCCCCTTTCACTTGTATTTTGAATCGAACAGATTTATACTCGCTTAAATAGTGCGAGTGTCCGGCGCTAGGTGCCGTCCGGCGTTACGGGACTTCCCCTACGAGTTACCACATTTGCCAGGCGGGTTGACACTACGGCCTTTATCTTGATTCTTTCATTTTGTTACCTGCCACGACACCAACGAGAGGATATGGTATAGTGGATATTCTTACACTGTCACTTCACGCATCTGCTATCTACAATTAAGGATTTATAAAAAAAATGTAAATTCTTAATTGAGGGTATTAGATGTAGATTTCTCTAGGCCATATCATCTACTTAACATCAATTACATGATGGCATGCGTTTTCAGCAAAAAGGGTCTCCATTTCTCCACACTCACCATACAAAACACAGCAACATTAAGCTGCTATTTTACGCTGGTGTTCTCTACGAGCGTAGTCCTTCCCCGATCGAGTCGACCTATTCGTGCTACAACCATATTATAGCAGCAGGTGGTATTATGTGCTCACTTGCTACCCTTACTTATATAAAACACGAAGGGAAGAGGGGTGAATTGTTTCCTGCTTGGGAAATTTCAGAACACACCAGAAGAGGTCTTTACTTTCTTACCAAAACTTCTTTAAATAATAATACGGTGGACTCTACGGCCTTAATCTATTGCGCAATAAGTGACAGTCAATTCTCTATGACTCCTTTAGTCGACTGCGAGCAAACTAGTTCGTGGTTTTGATTTCAACAAACTAACACTGAATTTGTTTAACCACTTGAGCGTCGAAGCGACGCGGCAACAATACCCTTGAACGTCCGGGCCCCGGTCGTTGATGTTTTTATACGGTCGGATCGCGACCAGTTCGACTAAAACGGTTACCATGGAGAAAGTTCTTAACCTATATCAGAATAAAAATCACCCACAAAAAGCTAATGAAATGCAGAATTTAATTATGATAATAATAATTTACTCAATTGACGTACATCAGGTAAAAAATGATTAATTTTAGAAATTTAGATGAAAAACCCTAAATTTTTTTTATTTTCTTCGTTAATATCGCAGTATCATTTTATTTACATATATTTATTGTACAATTATTAAAATACATGATCTACCCAATCAAATGATGCCAATATCGTTATATGAATGTTAAGTATTTCTAGGCAAGAATACCTAAAATATCGACACACTCCGTTCTTCATCCGTACATTAAACTTGGGGAACAAAATACAAAAACGTAAAATCATTACTACTTTCACTATTTTCCTTTCAGTTAAGTGTATTTAAATATAGTTAATAACCTGTTTTACTAATTATAAGAAATATTTTATTAAAATAAACAATATACAATACAAGAACTTAACGAAAGACCGACATACAAAGGCGAAGTTATCGCATGTCGACTTCATCACGCATAAAAACATCATAACGGACTTTGGATTTATAAAACATGAAGATATACGAAAAGAAAACATCCCGAGGATTATTTTAATATATACCACTAGTACAAAAGTATAATAAATACATTATTACTTACATTTTAAAATGAAGAACTCACAGTAACACCGGCCACTACACAAAACTTGACACGACGCTTGTTTCTTTTTTTTTCAATGCCATTTGTTACCTGGCATAGACCTTTTATAGACGCGTTTTTTAATACAGAGCCATCTAGTATAACATTCATAAAGCTTTTTGTCACATTCTATAGATCAAAAGTCGTTTAAAGTTTAGAAGTCAAAGAGGCCGCTCTAGTCGCCCGAACGCTCAACCGGAAAAAGTTTTAGGCAACTATGGTCACCCGGACGTCATAGTGGTTAATGAGACTTACTTTGTCATTATTTATGTACGCCTTTCAACAACACCAACTTAATTTGAAGTTTATTTCTGATAAGCTTGTAACTTTATTTCGTATTTCTTTAAAGCCAGTAACTAGTAGTACATATACATAGAAGACTTTTCTCATTAAATGTTTAATTAGTAAAACGGTATACTTATAGCGGTGTCTCACCCCCGTGCCTCGAAAAGCACGTAAATCCTCCTGTCCTGCGCCTGATCTCTCTCTCCGGTTTTGTCGGTTTACCGTCCCATCGGATTATGAGAGTGAGGGAATAGGGAGTGCACCTGTGCATGCGCATACACTTGGGCGCTATAATCCTGTCCTGCGCCGATGCCTAGTCTCCGTTGAGAGTGGCCGCCGTGATCGAAATAATTCGGTCTGGAGGATATTATTATACTTATGTTGAATCACCACAATGTCTTTTCTGTCTGCCTGTGTATGCGACTAACCCTCTGAGATCTCAGTGTAGATGATTGCCTTAATACATATAAATTACGTGTCACGTTGTTTGTCCGCGATGGACTCCTAAAATTTGCGAATTTACGGATTTTTAATATATATATAAGCCGTGTGACACATCCAAGGCTTTCGACTGTGTATGTTGTCAATAAGCACAGTACTATGGTGTCAAGCACACAGCACTTAAACTTATTTAATATATAAGTGATACAACGCAGAGAGGTATTATCAATGGTAAAAGTTCGTCCACGTCACCTGTACTGTATTTCTATTCTATATTAATGACTTAACTTCCCTTGTAGGACATAATCATGATGTATTATTATTTACTAATGACACTTTCTTGATTTTTGAACTTAAACGTGAATCGCTTAAATTTGACGAAGTGAATAATGCTATATCTAAATTAGTGCATGAATTTAATGTTAATAGTATATATTTAAATGGCAATGAAACTAAATATATTAAATTTGCCACATCAAATGTTTAAAGTTTAAATACTAATGTATTTTTAACTGGGCAAGAGCTCAGCCCTGTGGAATCCACTATTTTTCTTGGCATCAGTCTCGACGTTTCATTGGATTCTCCATATATCTACACTATCTAGCAGACTAAGCTCTGCAGCTTATGTTATATAACAGATTAGAGGTCTTTATTTCAATTCTTTCCATAACATAATGTCTTATTTAAGTTTGCTACATAAAATGCAGCTGATATAGAAACTATTTTTGTTTTTCAGAAACTAGAACTAAAAACGAGCTACTTACATTCATAAATCGAGAGAGTCTTTTAAAGAAACAAATGTATGAACTTTATTAGCCTTTTAGTCTATTTACGAAAATTTAATGTCTTGTCATGATATTTCTCTCGCTTTTCCCAGAATCGCCTCATATGACACTAAATAAGTTCTTATTGATTTCAGGATAAGGTTCCGCGAATTTCCTACACCTATTAGAATGGCTTTGGTCGTATCTCCCGTGCAGTGGGTGTCGACGATAAATACTTTAGTTATGTCTCCAATACTAAAATTTTCACGTGTGCAAACTTCACTTCCAGTCACAACGGAGCATAGCCATTACCTCATTAATAAATACAAGGTATTTATCTATAGTAAAATGTTTATTAACATTGCGAGTAAAATTTACCATGTAGAAGCGATATAAGAATATTCATTGCCCCAAGTCGCCCCGTGTTTGTAGTGAGAGGCGACAAAGGGAAGTGATGGGCAACAAGGCCGGTAACAACTAAAAATAGAAAACTGCAGTAGCCACCTCGTCTGCCAAGTGTTGTAAATATCCGCCCCTCTATGAGAGAATATATAAGCCTCACCTATACACTCCCCTGCATCCATTCCATTAACGCTCAACGTGCCTGTATTAAAGATAACGTTTCGCCTCACGTTTAGTTTTATCCAGTTTAAAGACATTTATTTATCACATAAGAACAATATAAAGTTAGTAGTGATAAATAATTAATACTCAACAATTAACAAGTATAAAAGAAAATGATGCCCAAAACAAGTAGAAATTAAAATAAGTAATTTAACAGACGTCTTTTGAATAATGCCATAGTCCTTACAATATTTCACATCATTCAATAGGCAGCTTGAAGTAGAGTTGCATTGATAGACAGGTATCGCTAGCTTGTGTCCATTTCAAGTACAATATCGGTGTAATTTTTTAGAAAGTAATAAGTGAAAAATACTAAACTACTATAAGTCGATCGGGGATAAGTCGCTCGCGTCCGTAGGCTATGACCACCTATTCCTAGGCCCACCCTACACGTGTCCCCCGGGTGGTGCTAAATGAGCGACAAGCCGATACCACAGACTCGGCTCCACGCCGTGGTAGCGGCGTAAAACATACTACCCAATATTTTCGCACCTTGAGGAAGTATATAAAAGAAATGGCCCCGAGTTCCCGGCGCCCCTTTAATGGGGCAGGGGTGCGAAGAATCTCCGGGAAGAAAACCGGCGACGAGGTTCGCCACCCGTCACGTTCTGTCTCCCGGAGAGGCTAAAAGTGGATTGCAGAGGCCCGTCTGGCTACGTTGAATGTATGTGGGGCAATGAATGATAAAATGGATGAAGTATACGACATGATGTATGATAGAGGAATAGATGTGTTATGTGTAAATGAGATGAAAAGGAAGGGGAAGGATGTCACTACACATGGCATGTATACCGCATACTGGTCTGGTGTAGACGAGATCGAGCGGGCATGCCAGGGGGGTAGGTATCATCCTTTCAAAAAGAATGGGCCAATGTGTGAAAGAGTATGAATGTGTAAGCCCAAGACTGCTATGGATACGAATGAAAGTGGGCTTAAAGAAGTTGTTTGTGTTAGGGGTCTACGCCCCAGACATGTCTAAGCCCACTTATATCTGAGAGCAGTTTTGGGAAATGGTAAGGATGGTGTTAATGAAGTGTAAGGGAAATGAAAATATTATTATACTAGAAGATTTCAATGGAAGAGTTGGGGTGAGGAGGCTTGGTTATGAAAGGATATTGAGAACGTTTGGTGATGAAAGTATAAATGAGAATGGTGAAAGTCTCCTCACCGTATGTATGGAAAAGAATCTTTTTGTGACGAACACTTGCTTTCGCCACAAGAGGATTCACATGTATACTTGGGAAAGAGGTGACGATAGAAGCATGATAGGTTTCATAATTGTGGATGAAAGATTGAGGGGCGCAGTGGTAGATACAAGGGTTTACCGGGGTTCTAACGTAGGAACGGATCATTATTTGGTTTTATGCCGAATTAATGGTCTATTCAGGCGTTGGCGCCATCGATCATCTGTGTCTACCACTGCGTTACAGCGTATTAGAACAGAAAGGTTACAAGATGAAGGTGAGAGAAACAAGTTCAAATGTAGACTGAAAGAAAATATAAGTGGTTTGGATGAATTATGTATGAAGGAGTTAGACTTGGAGAATGTATGGCAAAATGTAAAGAAAGGTTTAGTGGATGCAGCTACCGAAGTATGTGGTGTTAGTAAGAGGAAGAATGAAAGGAAAAATAATACGTTATGGTGGGATGATGAGATACATATGGAAGTTGAAGCAAAGAAGAGAGCACGGCTAGATTTACTAGCAACAAAGGCTGGTAATTCTAGCGGTACGAATGATGATATTGAAAGAAAAAAGGCAGTCTTTAAACATCTTAATAAGAGAGTAAAAGAAGTAGTTGAAAGAAAAAAGCAAGAAAGAACGGATAAGAATGATAGAAGAATATCGGATAACTTCCAGGCAAATATTAAAATGTTCTGGAAACTTGTAAGAACTGCCAGGGGACATTCAAAACAGCCTATGATGAATGTTATAAGAGACGAGAATGGCTATATTCTGAAAGATGAAGTTTTGAGTTTAAAGAGATGGAAGGAATATTTTGAAAGCGTGTTTATGAGTGAGGAGACAACGTGTGTACTAAGTGAAGTAGAAACTCCGAAAGAAGAGGAAAGAGGTAGCGAGATAAGTATAGATGAAATAATGAAAGCAATGAAAAGCATGAAAGCAGGTAAGGCTGCCGGATATGATAGAGTTTCACTTGAAATGCTAAGGGCTGGAGAGGAAGTGGTGGCAGGCCTGCTGCACACCTTGTTTAATTTATGCTGGGAACTGAAGCGGGTACCGGTAGACTGGTGCAAAGCCGTGATAGTCCCAGTATATAAAGGAAAAGGGTCGCAGCAGGACTGTAAAAACTACCGTGGCATCAGCCTTCTTAGCATTGTGGGAAAACTGTATGCTAAGGTACTGATTGAAAGGGTCATGAAAGAAACTGATCGAAAAATTTGGGATGTGCAAGCGGGATTCAGAAAGGGAATGGGATGTACAGATCAGGTCTTTTCCATGCGCATGATCGCGGAGAAGTTTTTGGCCAAAAACCAAAAGGTTTTTTGTGCGTTCATTGACTTGGAAAAGGCCTATGACAGAGTGGATAGGGATGTGCTATGGCAAACACTGAACTCATTTGGGTTGAGCGCTGGCTTGATACAGGCATTGGAGTCTCTTTATAGGGACTCTAGTGCTTGTGTTAGGATCAACGGGATCTACTTGGACTGGTTTGACATCTATAAAGGTGTCAGACAGGGCTGTGTGGCTTCCCCGTGGCTGTTCAACCTATTTATGGACAGTTGTTTGCAAAATTTGAAAGTTGAAGAATGCGGATTAAGAATGGATGAGTTAACCGTCAAATGCCTTTGCTCAAATACATAAAACAACATAAAGAAAGGGGTATAAAGTGAACGCAAAACGAAGTGTTTTTGAAAGAGAAAAAAAAAGAAGGGGAGTTTCAGGATGAGTTTGTATATTTGGGCTGCGTATTTAGCAGGGATGGGAGATATGATAAGGATATAGAACGACGAGTGAATGCGGGAAATAGAGTAAATGGGGCCCTGCACTCTATTGTGAAGAGTCAAAATGTGTCAAAAAAGGCACGTATGGCAATTCACAATGCTGTGTTGGTCCCTACTTTAACGTATGGTAGTGAAAGTTGGGTGTGGCAGAAGAAGCACGAGAGTAGAATCAACGCAGTAGAAATGCGGTCCTTAAGGAGTATGTTAGGGCTGAATCTGAACGACAGGGTAAGAAATTGTGTATTAAGAGAAGAGTGTGGTTTGCAAGATGATGTTGTGACCAGGATGAAGAAAGGAATGCTTCGGTGGTTTGGTCATGTGGAAAGAATGAATGAGGAAAGAGTGACAAAGAAAATTTATGTTGCAGAAGTGAATGGCAGAGTCGGAAAGGGACGTCCTAGGCGAAAATTTATCGACCGAATTGGCGATTTATTGAAAACGGGCCAAATTAGGACTACCTTTAACCGACGAGCATGTATGCGTAGGTGTATGGATGTGAAGGAGGCAAGAGAGGTGTGTCAGGATCGTGCCAAATGGAAGTCTGTAGTCTCTGCCTACCCCTCTGGGTGACAGGCGTGAGTGTTTATGTATGTATGTACTAAACTACTTAATATAAGTTAAAAACTTTATATGTAATAATAAAATTGATTTTAGCCTGAGTTTGTGGTAATCAGTCCCTCGATGATGACCAGCCTAGTAAAGCCGGGTCAACGTGAAAAGTGTGACTTCACATGCTTTAGACTGTTCATAATAGGGGGCAGTGCTGTACCGCAAAAATTAATTGATGATGTAAAAGTAAGTATCACATAATATTGATATTATCCTTGATAGTATTATAAAGTAGCCCGGGGTGGTATATATAATTACCGTGGGATAATAATTATTTACCTACTCCAGATCGAATTTAATTGGCCACAGAGACGAGCCATCTGCGCAGGACCAGATTATAGAGCGAAGGTTGTGCAAAAACACAGGTGCAGTCCTTATTGCCTCCCTCATAGTCTGACGGGGCGGCAAACATGACCATAGAGAGATCAAACACAAGACTAATGGCCTGTACGTACTTTCCAAAGCGCGGGGGTTAAACTCCGCCAACTTCCTAACTCCTAACTTCGAAATTCCCCAATAACTGATTTTGATCCGACCACATGACCAGCAAAGGGGGCAAAAATTTTATGTTGGACTTCTACCGGCAAAAACCCTATAGTGGTTACCATCAGGGTATACGAGAGGACCCAAAATCTCCATTCAGAGTACAATCGGGACTGCTCTATTGCATTGCTTGACCATTAGCACGTACGTGCGTGCGTACGTGAGTGCGTGCGTACGTGCGTGCGTACGTGAGTGCGTGCGTACGTGCGTGCATAAGTGAGTGCGTTCGTGCGTGCGTGCGGCCGTGCGTGCGTACGTGCGTATGGCCGAGCGTAAGTGCGTGTGGGCGTGCGTGCTTGCGTGCCAATGACGTACCACCTTTTACATTCGATATATTTTTTCGAGTAAATGTCTTATTCTTTATTGATTTTTGTGTATTGTATTATGTACTAGCAAAGATTGTTTTAGTTTCGGGTACTGTAGATACATTATTTTTCTTGTATCGTAGGGTATATTCTTGTGTTTACTTGGTACGATCTGTTTTCTATATAGTTTTCTCACCGAAAGTAAATAGAAGTATACAGACTGCTCCTTTTTATATTACAATGTTATTATAATACGTTCTACAGACGTCTAGTGCCTACATTATGTTATTCCATCATCAATAGTTTTCGCAGTGCACGCAGAGCAATGACTTTTCAAACAATTTTGTAACCCAAGGTATCAACCATAGGTTCATCATCATCATCATCATTACAGCCCTTCACAAGTCCACTGCTGAACATAGGCCTCCCCCAAGTAATGCCACAAAGCACGGTCCTGAGCCACCTGCATCCATCGACTTCCTGCATGTCTTACCAGGTCGTCACTCCATCTAGTGGGGGGTCGCCCTACACTACGCCTACCGGTACGAGGCTGCCACTCGAGAACCTTTCTTCCCCATCGGTTATCGTTTCTTCGAGCTATATGGCCGGCCCATTGCCACTTCAGCTTACTAATCCGTTGGGCTATGTCGGTCACTCTGGTTTTACTGCGGATATCCTCATTTCTGAGTCTATCACGCAGAGAAACTCCGAGCATAGCCCTCTCCATAGCTCGCTGAGCGACCTTAAGCGTCCTCATACGGCCAGCAGTGAAGGACCACGTCTCAGATCCGTAAGTCATCACTGGCAACACGCACTGGTTGTACAATCTAGTTTTTAGAGATTGAGGTATACCTGACGAAAAGATATGCCGTAATTTCCCGAACGCTGCCCAGCCGAGTTGAATCCGTCGATTGACCTCTCGGTCGAAGTTGGACTTACCTAGTCGGACTATTTGTCCCAGGTAAACGTATTCGTCAACAACTTCGAGCATAGTGCTCCCAACAACTACCGGCATAGGTGTGACATGGACATTGAACATGATCTTTGTTTTGTCCATGTTCATCTTAAGACCTATCCGTTGGGAGGCACTATTGAGGTCATTGAGCATAGTGCTTAAGTCCTCCAGCGATTCTGCCATAAGGACTATATCGTCGGCAAATCGAAGGTGAGTGATGTACTCGCCATTGATGTCAATACCGTATCCTTTCCAGTCCAGTAGCTTGAAAACGTCTTCCAATGCAGCGGTGAAGAGTTTCGGGGATATAACGTCACCCTGTCTTACACCTCTCTGCAGTTGGATAGGTTTCGAGCTCTGGTTCTGTACTCGGATAGCCATCGTAGCCCTACTATACAAACACTTCAGCACTTCGATATACCGACAGTCAACTTGGCACCGCTGAAGGGACTGTAGCACCGCCCAAATTTCGACGGAATCAAAGGCTTTCTCATAGTCCACATACGCCAGGCAAAGTGGCAGATTGTACTCTTCAGTCTTCTGTACAATCTGCCCCAGGGTATGTATGTGGTCTATGGTACTGAAGCCTTTTCGGAAACCGGCTTTTTCGGGAGGCTGGAAGTCGTCAAGTCTGCGTGCGAGACGATTCGTAATGACTCTCGAAAACAGCACGTAGACGCGGCTCAGAAGGGAAATCGGTCTGTAGTTCTTTAAGAGAGCGTTGTCGCCTTTCTTAAAGAACAAGACCACCGCACTTCTGCTCCACGCCTCTGGAGTAGTGCCACCATGGAGGACGGAATTGAAGAGCTTCTGAAGGACTTCAAGTACCGGTGTTCCACCCGCTTTCAGAAGCTCCGCTGTAATTCCATCCTCGCCTGGGGCCCTGCCGTTTTTAAGGTGCTGGAGAGCCATTCTAATCTCGCTTAGACTGACGTCCGGGATATCATCGGAATAGTGTCGGATAAGACTTGCTCTTGGATCGTTACTCACACTTGCGTGTGGCTCCAACGATGATGTGTACAGCTGCCCATAGAACCTCTCAATCTCACTCAAAATCTCAGGTGTCCCGGAAACGATGTTGCCACACTCAGTCTTCAGCCTTGACAGTTGGCTCTTTCTGGCAGACAGATCTCTGGCAAAGACTTTGGAGCCCTGGTTCCGCTCGATCGCTTCTTTAATACGAGAAGTATTAAAGTTGCGTAAGTCTCGCCGTATGCATTTGGAGATCTGTCTGTTCAGTTGCCTGTATGCTGTCAAATCTGTTGACGATTGCAGCCTCATCTCCCGTCTAACAGCCATGAGATTAAGAGTGTGATCGGAGAGTTTTTGTGTTCTTCTGCGGCGGGTCTTGCAGAACTTAGCTCCGACCGCATGGACAGTTTCCACGAGCTTGTCGTTCATATCGTCCACTGCATTGCAATCTTCTAGGCACTGGAAGCGGTTACGTAACTCGAGCTGAAAGGTTTCGGGATTCTGGATTAGAGCACGAGGGGGGACGGAGCGTTGACTTCATTAGACGAGACCTCTCCAACTTAACGTTTAGGTTCAGTGTGCCTCTAACCATTCGGTGATCGCTGCCAGTTTTCACCCTTGCGATCACTGAGACATCACTGAACAGTTGGCGTCTGGTCGTCATAATGAAGTCAATCTCATTTTTTGTCGAACCGTCGGGGCTCGACCAGGTCCACTTCCTGTGGGGCCGCTTCTGGAAGAAAGAGTTCATCATAAAGAGTTCCTCTTTCTCCATAAAGTCGGCCAGCTGCTGGCCCCTTCGGTTCCGTTGCCCTACTCCAAATTTCCCTACCTTCAGCTCACCGCTTTCTCTTGTGCCCAGTTTTGCGTTGAAGTCTCCCATCAACACCGTGTAGTAGGTTTTGGAGGAATGTATGGTTCTGGAAATATCCTCATACATTTCCTCCACCTCCTCATCGGGATGTGCCGAGGTTGGTGCGTAAACCTGAATGACCTTCAGCGAATACCGTTTGGTGATTCTGAGTATCAGGTACGCGACCCTCGTCGACACACTCCCAATCTTTACAACGTTGTTGACGAGAGATTTGTGGACGATAAATCCGACACCTCCTTGGGACAGATGGTCGCCCTCCCGGTGATAGAACAAGTTGCCGGACTCGAGGATTGCCGTGTCCTCCCCCTCTCTTCGGACCTCGGATAATCCAATAATATGCCAGCGCAACTTGTCTACCTCTTCTTCCAGCTCCAGTATCTTCTCGTCAGTCCTCAGGGTGCGTGCGTTATATGTTGCCAGGTCGAGTCGTCGTAGGTGGCAACCGAACCTCCACCGGAGATTCTTAGCACCCCCCTGCCCCGCCGTTACCATGGTCGCCACCGTAGCCAGGAATAGCGGGGCCGCCGGGGACTGGGGGCCGTCTGTTTGTGTATTTATTCATTGGGGGGTATTTGCCATAGTTGCCACGCTTGGCGAGCGGGTTGGCAACCGCAGTTTTTTATTACGTCACAGTTGTCATCAGGAAGACGCTGCTGCCCATCTCCTGCCTGTCTCCCTCTGTCGCCTCTTACGACACCCACGGGAAGATATGGGGTAGTGGATATTCTTAACCGCCACTACACGGCAACCATAACCATAACCATAGGTTACAATATTGGAATTTTCTTAGATCCCTAACTTATTTTAAATTAAATGTATCATATTTTACTTAATAATAATGTAGTTTATGCATTACAAACAAAAAGTAAAGTAAAGTAAAATTGCAGCCTATATAGGTTTACAAAAAACCTTTTATTTTATTATTAGTATAGCTATGAAAATATTAAATTTCAGAGTAATATTAATGTAAAAAGTTAGTGAAAGCTGACTCTACAAGGGCGTATGGAAGATGACGCAATATTTTTTCTTTGTGGATAATGGTGCTGGTTACATAATGATTAATATTAATTATAAATTGTTATTTGATTTAAGTATTATTATGTGATTGTTTGTTGTCCTGAAAAAAAAATTATCTTAAAATGTTTACTCGTGCAGGTTTAATGATTGGTAAGGCTACCAATTCTTGAAACTTATAATGCAGTAACAATACCAGTGCTACTATCTATTGGCGCTGTTAACCAACCCGCCTGCCCAGCGTAGTGAATACGAACAAATCTTCCGCCTAATTGTTGTCTACTTGTAAATTTGAGAAAACGCAATCTAGGAGGAATTTAAGTTTTAAAACAAACGTAACGTCTATGGATATTTTAGTTGATCCCATAGATTATATATATACACTTATTATATCCTCGTAATTAAATAAAATACGGATATATCTATTATGTAACAACGGCTAATAAAAATACCTTAACAATTTCAGACAGTAGCGCCATTTGCAGATGTTTGCACAGGATACGGAATGAGCGAATTAGGAACAATTGCTTTAGACCCAGTCAGCTTTATTCCAGGATGCACTGGACGGCCATTAGGGCACTCAGATTACCGCGTAAGTGTACAATACTTTGTTTTCCCCTTTGTCCCCCCTACACTTTCTTGTTCATCACTCGTTACACAGTCTTACCAAATAAAAACAGAAAGACAGGACAATAATCTTAATTACATATTACATTAAGTCAGTTGGTAGACGGTAAACGCAACAAACGTATTTTTACACGCCATAATTAACGCAACTAGCACCAAGTGTCGAGTGGCAGAGCTGGGAAACTTTCTAGAGAATTCTATACTAGAACTTTCCAACTAGCGCCATCTCATATCGAGTGGCAGAACTAGGAGAGAACTTTCTAGTCGGTCGGGACCGGTATGTGCTGGAACATTCTAGATGTTTTAGTGGAAGTGGCCCTATATAAAGCCGTTTAGATCCGTGACCGAATCAGTATTGAATTGGCGATTAAAGCGAATACTTCGAAGCTATATAACTGCGAACTAAAGTGTTAAGTGTGATTAATTAGTATGTTTTAAGTTGCAATTGATATCCGGAAATTAAAGTGTCAATTTTGGTAATCAATCGGCAGTTTTTATTATCACGGACGTTTTTGAACGAAAGTTTTGTTGTGTTATATGCTTGACTGAGACCTGGCTTAACGATGACTTTTGTAATAACGAGCTCTTTGATGATCGTTATGTTGTTTGGAGGCATGATAGAAACTACAGTGTTACAAATAAAACGTGGTGTGCTTATTGCTGTTAGGCGCGAGCACGCAGTGGAGGAGCGGTTCGACTGGCATTCTTCTAATGAAGACATATGGGTATCGTTAACTCGTCGGTGTTCCAAACCGAAAATGACATACAAAATCTGGGTAACTCCTTATCTGCACAGTTAGCTTGTTTTTATACAATATTATACGACATAATATAGACGAATTTAACTGATGCTTTCGTTATTTTGGGAGATTTAATCTGCCAAATATATCTTAGACTCTTGATGATGATGATGGATACTCTCTTCTCTCTCTCTTCAGTCCGACTTTTTGATATCTTAATACGTGTAATCTGCAACAATATAACTTTTATAACAATGTTAACAACAGAATACTCGACTTAATCTTTTGTAATAATCACTTATCAGCATCAAATGTACCGATCCTTTAGTGCCTGAAGACCCTCATCAAGTGGCTATTAGTGTTCTAGCCGATTTTGTCGAGTACCTCACTTCATCAGTCCAGCCAAGGACTAAGTTTATGTATCATTTAGCTGATTTCTCCTCTATATCACGAGAGTTTGATAACTTTGCATGGTTTCATGATCTTTTTAAGGGTACAGTGGACGATGCGTCGTCACTATTGTACACTCGTTTAAATAACTTGTGGCGGCACTTACATACCAACAAATGTATGTCACCCTCTGTCACACTAGCTTCTTGTATAAATCATCACATATCAATCACTTCCCACGCGATAAGATTGTGATAGCAAGGGATCGTTCAAACGCTTGCTCTGGAATCATTTTCTGGCGTTGTAGGAGTAGTTTGTGGATTAACATTTTTTATATCCTTTAATTTTAACTGTTCCCTATTCCTGTTTGAATTTCAAATATTTTGTAGGTGTTTGAATCAGAAACTATATTTGATTATGTGTCTACTAATAATGCATATATACACAGGAATTATCAAGCAAATATATGTATATATTTATATATATTGTATGTATATCTATATAATATATATGTGTAATTGTGTTTATAACATGTATTGCAATAAGAATATAACACATACATAATGTGTATGACTACTCATAGATATTTTAACTCAGTTGCACTTTGCACCCACAATATCTTCTCTGCTTAGCCTGGAGGTAGACTCATAGAGAATGCCTTGTTGCATAAGTCCGCCTTTTTGTGCTTTGCTTGGTGTGTAATAAATAAAAGTAGTAAAATCTTCTTCTAAATATCCCCCCTGGTATAAAACCCCTCTTATAAAATTTTTAAAGCAAAAGTTTAAATATAAAAAATATGGCAATTTTTAATATTACGTAACCGCACCAAACAATTAGAATCCCAAGTGTACAACAATTATATAGCAAATGTAGAACTCAGCATAGATAAATTGCCAAGGACGTTCTGGACCTTCGTGAAATATAAAAAAGCGCCAAACGCTTGTCCATCTATAATGAAATATAGACACATCATCAGGCCAAAGGGATATTAGTTGTAATATGTTTAGTGATTTTTCTATGGTAATTTCACCAAATTCGCACTATCTTTGGCATCCGATACGAGCCCGATAATTGGCGATCACAGACTGTGTCGGATATAAACTCGATACAAGTTAGCGAAATTGAAGTCTTTTTTTAGCTTAAAATTAAGCTTTTAAATTCTATTGACCTTAGTAAATCTGCAGGCTCAGATGGTATACCACCCATTCCTATAAGTAAGTATGCTAAAAGCTTGACTATAATACCGTTAACAATAATATACAGACGTTCTCTTAAGGAAGGAATAGTACCTTTTATTTGTAAATCTTCATTTATTACCCCCATCCAAAAAATGGTCCAAAGGACCGTTTAAAGAACTATAGGTCAATATCCAAACTTTGTTTATTTACTAAAATCTTTGAGAAAATCGTATACTCGTCTGTATATCATGGCATTTAACATACACTCGGTGATTATAAACACGGCTTTTTAAAAAGTAGATCTACTGTTTCGAACCTTATTTTCTGTTCTGATTACTTAACTAACATTATGTCTGAACGCTTACAAGTGGACGTAGTCTACACTGATTTCAGTAAAGCGTTCGACCGTTTATATCACGTTATACTTCTCAGCAAACTACTACTACTTCTAAGGAGGTATCAGCGGCAATTTGTTAAGGTGGCTTAAGTCTTATATTGAGAATCGTTGTCAGACAGAAGAATTCAATGGTTATACATCAGCAACTGTGCAAATCCCTCAGGAATACCGCAGGGATGGCTATTGGGTCCATTGCTTTTGCGATTTTAATAAGTTTTATAGGTTCCTGCTTCACTTACTCCAAAATAACCCTTTATGCTGATGACATGAAAATCTTATGTCCCATTACAAATACTTCTGACTGCCTTCGTCTATAGCGTTATCTCAATGACCTTGAACGATATTGTTCACGGTTCTACTTCTTGTTAAAATTTTAATTATTTTATCCCTAGTTCAAGGTAACCAGTCGAACCATAAGCTTACGTTACTATAGAACGAGTAGAACGTAGGTACAATAAACCTTAGAGATACAATTTATTTTTTAACTTAATATACAATATAACCTTTTGAATAAAAAAAAGAATTATTTAAGTCCGTTCAGACGTTTTCAAAAAATTTATGAATTTATTAAAAACACACACGTCGAATATATAACCTTCTCATTTTTTGAACTCGGTTGATAACTTGTTTTATAATAATTAGAAATAATTTAAAGCTAACAATAATTTTTAGTTAGTGGATCCTGGAACGGGAAAAGACGTTTTGGAACCACACAAAACAGGCGAACTTTGGTTTAAAGGACCGATAACCTTTAAGGTATGGTTATTTTATTATTTTATAAAAGTATGCGTTTTAACCTGTTTTCTATTTCTATAATTTATTGACATTTTACATTTCAAGGTCCGCAGTCAATCAACAATTAATACATTCTCTACCCCGCGTAATTGATATTGTCTTTTTTTATAGAATAAGGGTGACAAACGAGCACACAGTTCACATGATGATAAGTGGATGCTTATAGCTTAGAATACTAGCTTAAAAAAGCAGCTTTAAGCTGCTAAAGCTGCTATTTTACAACCATAATACGAGGGTGACGCTAAAAGTTTTTAGAAAATTAAAACCTGAACAAACTAGGAAGTTATTAATTTTATTATATATTTTCAAAATAGTGTCCATTTACATCAATATATCGCTTTATCCGATAGGACCACTGAGAAAAGCACTTTACCCACTCATCCTCAGGAGTCTCTTCGATGGCATTTTGAAAAGCAGCCACTGCTTCCTAAGCGTCCATAAAACGATTTCCTCGAAGTTTTTCTTTTATTTTTGGAAATAAATAAAAATCGCAAGGTATAGTTCGGGGATATAGGGTGGGTGATCCAGGGCTTCTACGTCTGACGTCGCCAAGTAGTCGATTGTTTGCTTGGCGGTGTGCGACGAGGCGTTGTCGTGGTGAAGGAGGATCCTACTGCGAGGTCGTTTCTCCCGAACTTTTTCCAAGATAATGACAATTAATTGTGAGTGTATCACTCTGCAGTAATTGTTTTTCGATCCTCTAAAACCATTGTTGCTTAATGGCTCTTTTTTCTTAAGCTTCGACCTCTCTTCTCTTTGGTCGGCAACTCCTCGGAAGGAAACACGCAGACAGCAGACTGTCTCTTAGTTTCAGGATCATAACAATAAATCCAGCTTTCGTTACCCGTAACTATGTTGAACACAGCATTTGAGACACCTCCATTAAATCTTTGAACCATTTCACGACAACAACCAACAAGACGGAGTTTTTGGGCCTCCGTCAAATTATGAGGTATCCTTCAGACACAAAGCTTCCTGACCGTTAAATGTTCATAGAGGATTTTGTGCATTTGACTCGTGTGCCTAAACTTGACCTTGACCCAATGCCTAAACTTTTCCGAATCTGCTGATAAGTCACTCTTTTGTCAGTCTCTTCTATCTTCAGTCGCCGCCGTTGAAGGCCGTCCCTCACGCAGATCATGGGTGATATTAATGCGACCACGTTTAAACTCACTAAACTAGTTGTAAACAGTGGCATAAGATGGGGTTTCATCGGGAAAGGTCAATCGAAGTCTATAATAACTTTCTTGTTGACTTAAATGACATCGAAAGTCATAAAAAATCATTGTACGAAAATTTTTTCGCGTTAAAGTCACGCTGAAGTGACACAGACAATTTTCAATTTGCCGCCAAATCGTAAACAAATGATAAATTAATAAAATACATACACAATAATATTGATAGAGTTCCATTTTCAAAATTTGAACTTATTTTTTTTTATTATATCGTTTACAAGTGCCCAGTTCTAAAAAAAATTCAGTGTCGCCCTCGTATAGCTGCAGCGTGGCTCTACCACGTATAAACATATTTCGAGGCAGTAATGAAAGCATTTTGTGACCAAAACTAAACATTTAGTAAACACCAACATTTTTATGATTTTTATATAAACGATAAAAGTTTCTTAAAGTTACAGCCTATATGAAGTATATAGGCTGTAACTTTACTACTGCTGAGCACAGGCCTTCTCTAGTTTATGAGGTTTTAGGACCAGGAAATGTGCGCGCTGACCAAATGGCGAACTTCACATCTCTTCGAAATATATTTTTTTTGTTACTTCTCAGACATGCAAGTTTCCTCACGAAGCTTCACTTTACCACCAGCATGTGGTAAAAATCACCATTCAAAATTGTAATTAATTATTTCATTCGTGCCGGTGGGGATCGAACCCAGGTTGCTCGGGTACTGTGTAATTTGCAGCGAGCGCTTAGCCTCTAAACTACCACGGCTCTCGATCGGCTCTAATCGAAATATATATGATAAGAACGTGAATATAGTATATAATATTACGGCTAGGATTAATATTGGGCTAGGCTTAGTTAATATACTTGGACTTATTTAGATGCAGTATATAATAGAACATAAGCATTACGTGTTAGAGCAACGCTACAGTTATATCAGTAGTATAGTTCTGGCACGAATGGGTCGGCTCGAGCGGGGAAGGACCATGAACTCACAGAATACCAGCGTAAAATAGTAGCTTAATGCTGCTGTGTTTTGTATGGTGAGTGTAGAGAATCGGAGATCCTTTTAACTGAAAACGAGGCATTCCATCTTAGTCCTTTAGGGTGACAACGCATCTGCATTTTGATTTGTAATCGAGGATAGATATAGATGTCTAAGGGCCGCAGCAACCACTTACCATTAAGTGGACTGTGTGCTAGTTTGTCACCCTATCCTATAAAAAAATCTTTTATTGGATGGAGTTGAAATTTTAGTTTATCTTTTATTTATTTTATGAAATCTCTAAATCATTCACTTTATTTTAGTCCCTAATTTATTACGATCAGATAATTGTTATAAAAATACACGGGTTCCATAACTTAATTTTAAAATCAGTTATTTCTATGCCAATGCTACTTGCGCGAACGGTTGGAAGGATCCATCTGCACCTATCTGCGCTTAAGAATCGCAATGCAGATGCGAGCTCATCCCTGAGGACTGAGATGCAACGCCTCGTTTTCAGGAAAAAGAGTCTAGGTGTCTAAAAATCGGACAATGAATGTCTAATACAATTTCTATAAAACATTAAATTATTACTTTAAATATACAACTTTAAATGTACTATTTACTACTAACTATTTTTCTAGGGTTATTATAATAATCCTGAAATGACAGCTGAGATATACACCGAAGATAAATGGTTGAAGTCAGGTGATCTTTTCTACAGGGACGAGAACTGGAACTTTTTCTTTGCCGATCGCATGAAACTGCTTCTTAAATATAAAAATCACCAGGTAATTCCCTGCCATATTACCGTTCTAACCGTTAACCGTAACTAGTATTTGTGGTTCTTTCCCACTTTGTCATAGCTGAGGGCTTAGTTACCGTGGCTTAGGGACCCACGGTGAACAAATAGGAAACCACTTGGCTGGCCCCAGGTGGCCACTTCGAGGGGCTTGCTAACTCGCTCCGGGTGCGCTTTGGTGGATTGTGGAATGATAGTGTCAGCTCCCTCTTCAGAGGAATGGCAGTATGGCGATGCGCAACTCGCTCTTACTTCCGCGAATCTGTCGAAGCCACACCGTTGAAGCGGTGGTGGTGATGCCGCGGAGGTACCTTGGTTGGCGGCGGATTCACAAACCAGATACGCCGCTGGGGTCAGGAAAGCTGGTGCTTGCGAGCGGTCGTTTTATTTTCGGTCAGAGGCGTACTTTAGAATACCATGGGGTGTTAGTCGGTGCGTCTCCGACATTACCCGCCCTTGTCCCCGCGAGGCAGGTATGCATAGGCATTTTCCCATGTAAAAACGGGTAGAGTTTGTTGCACTGCGCCAATGCATGTGTGACGGACGTGTCTTTATGTACAATCTTATTTATAACCCTGAACGAGTTAGTTACGGGATAATAAAGGATTTTTACTATATTGATGCCAACGGGGAGCGAACTTGGATTGATCGCCCCTTTTGAAATTAAGACAGGCGCCTAGCTCCCAACTCAGAAGAGCATTGTTTTCAAAAATATTAATTGTGTTTTCAGATATCACCTACAGAAATCGAAGAGGTTATACGGACACACCCTGGCGTTTACGACGTTGCTGTGACCGGCATACCGGATGACGAGTGTAGTGAACTGCCAGTAGCGTGTGTCGTGCCACAAGAAAATCATACTCTGACTGCTCAAGAGATTAAGGATTTAGTTAAAAGTAGACTACCTTATTCTTCTGTTTTTACTATAATAAGCCATTGTTTTCCTACTATCCGACCTGTGCCATTGCCTTTGTACACTTGGCAGGTGGATAACGAACGCAGCAACAACAGTGCGATGGCGAAATGGATTGATAGATTCCCCCACGTAGTACACCTTACGACATCACCACCACTCTAAGATATACATACAATGTTTTTTGCAGTGGCTTGGCAATGAGTGATTACGCTGGGGGTCGCGGGTTCGAATCCCGCACGACACAAGTATTTGTATGGCCTACAAATAATTGTTCCGGGTCTGGATGTTTGTCCTTGTGCAATTTATGTTTGTAAACTGCCTCCACGAAACAGGATAAAATCCTAGTGTCTAAAGTTTTTTTTAAAAAAAGAAGATAAAAAGAAAGAAGAAAAGATGATTTTAGGTGTTTTAGGTTTCATTACAATCTTTTATAGAATGTCGACAAAAGTGAAAGAATAACAACCGCAGAAAATTACAATATGTACATTACCGATTTACTATCTAGTGCTACGTCACCACTTACCACCAGTTAGGATTGTGTCACAAACTAACTAGACAGATTGTGTTCAAACACAGGCTTATAACACGTATTTTAAGAATATTTACATATTTTTAGTTGCATTATTTAAAATGATAAGGTTAGAAAAAACCTTAAAGTTATATAGCGTTATGACCAATGATTTAAAAAGGAAGGGTAGGCCCATCTATATATTAATTATAAATATTTTACTCATAACTTTTTCATATAAGAAAAAGTAGTGCATCTGTCATAATACAAACGTCATATCAAAACACGACATTACCAGGGTCAGATTTCGTAGTATTCGGAGTTTGTAATATATAATATCGTAATAATACTAAGCGAAAATACCATAATTTTACCTAAAGGTCGACTTGTATTATTAATGGGTCCTTTTACTTTTTAATTTTAACCCTACGATATCGAGAATTTCTGTATTGTACATGAGTACCGCGTTTTGTAAATAAAATTAGAAGTGACTCCCTTTCTGGTCAATCGGTGCTCGATTGATGCATTTATGTTGCATCCTTGTTACAACTATAATGATGGGCTACCACGACAAAAACTATGCTCCAGAAGCAATCAAGTTTGAAAACAAAATTTCAAAATATTTTAAGCAGATATGGTTTCTTTTGTACTCTTTTCGTTTTACCCTTATTGAATATAAAATATATTAGGTACCAATATTCAAAATTTAATTTACACTAAGTTCTTTAGACAAAAATAAAACAGAAATATAAATAAAACCATCAAAAAACGAAACGTATAGATAAACTAGACGCGTGACGCCAAAATCCCGGCACATGGGAAAAAAGAAACATGAAACGTCAAACGTGATACAATTTTTTAAACATAGTATAATTTTATTTTGCATGTACAATATTTTTGAGGGTCTGAATCCAACCCTGGCCAAATCTTGGTAACGTTACTAAACTAACTGTAAAATAAAACTTTAAAAATGCGTTTATATAACAATTTAATTGTAACAAAATTAATATAAAGTTATTAACCGATGATGTGATACCCCATGTTCTTTTTAACCTTTGTATCGTAATTTTTGCATCCTTTTACCATGCAACTAGACATATTTATGACAAGCAAATCTGTCCTGCGCGCGCACCACTGTCGACCGATTCGCGTTGGACTTAAACTGTAATTTTAGGGCCAACGCACTGGTCCGTTTTATTTGTTCGGTCGGCCCGGTCCTTACGCTAGTAATATATAAGTCAATGGTTATGACATCCAACTTCATAATATGCAGAGTTCAAAAAGATGAATCTCTTGTTCAGTTAAAATTGATATAAATAAAAATTATAGGTATATTTGTAACATTTTCCTTTTCTATAATTTTAATTCATATTGAAAATTATACTATTTTTTTTATATAATTTATTCAAAACTTAAGAAGTTATAATGCTAAGTCCAGTAATACAATATAAAGCAGTTCATGGAGGAAACCTGTGTTCACATACGGGTTTTAATAGATTATAATGATTATTTCAATTATTTTACAGGTTCTCTTACCGATTCAAAGCAACTAAGAGGAGGAGTTATCTTCATGAAGGAACTTCCTTTAACATCAGCTTCAAAACCCAATCGAACTGCACTAAAAAGCATGGTTAAAAACATGAAAAGAGAATAGAGGCGAGCAAGAAAAAAAGAAATATTTTATGAAACAAACAACAATTCTTTTAATAACTCGTATACTTGTTGGCATTATCTTATGAAATTTATTATATTCATAAATATTATTTTCATTGGTTTTTAATAAAATGTAAAATAGAAATTAAAACATTAATATTGGGTCCTTACATATGAAATTAGCGTTTTGTCGTACTGGCCACTTTGATCTGAAATATCTCCTCTTTGGTTAAGAATTCCATATTCAAATTTATAAATTCATTTAGCTGGTACATTTAAGTTTTGAAAACAGTTATCCATTTGTTTTTTCCTCATTATTTTTTTTTCTCAGAAAATTCACTCCTGTACTAGTCCAATACTTCAAAATACTGACATCATCACCTAGCCAATCTGATCTAAACGAAAATTGACTCAGAAAAAGTAACTTGTGAGTATTTGGTGGACTAGCGCCGGTGTCGTTCTCTACAGCTTTCTAAAATCCGGCCAAACGATTACGTCAGATATCTATTGTCTGCAACTGCAGAGCATGAAGGAAGAACTAGATGCTAAACAACCGAGATTGATCAATCGCTCTAGGCCACTGCTGTTTCACGACAACGCAAGAACATACACTGCACAACAAACAACCTAAGTTAGATGAGCTACAATTGGAATGTCTGTGACATCCACCGTACTCTCCGGACCTTGCTCCAACAGATTACCATTTTTTTACGAAATTTGGACAAATTCTTACAAGGAAAAAAATTCAACTCCGATGCGGCAGTCCAAACCGCCTTCAAAGAATTTATTGATTCTCGCCCCCGTGGTCTTTTTAGTAAAGGGATCAATGAACTATCTATGAGATGGCAAAAGTGCATAGCTAACAACGGTGCATACTTTGATTAATTAAATAAATTTTACAAAAACTTGACTTTGTACTCCCCCCGTACAAAACGCCAATTTCACATGTACCTATAGTATAGTACATATATTCATAGGGACCTATTACTAAATTAGCCATTTCTTTGCCCTGTGAGTCATACATGAATATTTATATTTTTACTTTCATTACTGTTGGTCAATATTTTGTGAATTCAATATCTATTACTTTTTATTTATTTACTTTATTTATTTATATAAATCTAATGCATAAATTTTGAATGCGCTCAAGCTTATTAAGCTGCTCCTCGGTAATGTCAAGATAGCAAATATCAGCATAGTCAAGGATAGGCAGAAGAAGAGACTGGGCGAGCGTAACTTTAGTTGCTGTGGGAAGGAAATTACGTAATCTACGTAAACAGCTTAACGCAGCAAACATTTTTCTACTGACCTCATTAACCTGTGAGGTCCAAGACATACAGGAGTCAAGATACAACCCCAGGTTTTTAACCTTGTTACTGTAAGGGATTAGAGTGCAGTCTAGTATAATAGGGGGTAGGGGAGACCAGTCAATTTTACCAATTAATCTAGAACTACCGATGACAATGACCTGAGTTTTCTTAGGATTAATCGTTAAACCATAACATTTACTCCAATTCGAAATACAAGTCACATCAGCGTTAATAGTGTCAACTGCTTTAGATAGATCTTCAAGAGAGGACTGAGTATAGATTTGGAGATCATCAGCATACAAGTGGTAGGAAGAGGACAAATTATGGCTTATAGAGTTAATGAAAATTGCAAAAAGGAGAGGAGACAACACGCCACCTTCTGGTACACCAGCAGCTGTAGTAGTCCAGGTGGAAAAAACTTCTTGCACCTGAATTCGCTGTCGGCGACCAAACAAGTAACTTCGAAACCAGTCAACTACAGTTGGAGATATGTTGAGAGAGCGTAGGATGCTTAACAAGATATCAAAATCTACAGTATTAAATGCGTTACTAAAATCAAGCAACGTGAGAATAGTAAGCTTTTGTTTCTTCATACCATACCGAATATCATCAGTGATTTGTAAAAGTGCAGTAGTCGTACTATGGCCAGGACGGAAACCGGATTGCAAGGGATTTAAAAGATTGTGTTTTAAAAGATAGGTGCTTAATTGATTGTGCACAAGACGTTCTAGAACTTTGGAAAAGAAAGGCAAAATAGAGATAGGTCTATAATCGGAAAAACTAGAGGGATTTGACTTTTTCGGAAGAGGAACTACAAATGCGTCTTTCCAAGCTGAAGGGAAAAAAGCAGAATTCAGTGATTTATTCAGGATAGACGTGATTATAGGTAAAAGGAGATCAATGAGAGGGATGACCATTTTCCGACTAATGCAGTCACTACCAATCGAATTTGAATGGATGGACATTATGGCTCTCTTAACATCACAACTGTTAAATTGGCTAAAATTAAAAGCAGGGGTGTCCGGAGTGGGAGCTTTTGAAAGAGAATCTAAAGTATTATGTTTTGCTTTATCGTTAATGCAAGACGAAGATGAGAAATGCAAATTAAGTTGATTGAGATCAAGGTTATGGTGTGTGAGATTTTGTCGTAATTTCCCAACTCCTAAGGACTTAAGAAATTTCCAGACCTTAGCAGGATCAGGATCTTGTACTGATTCATGGATAAGGCGTCGTTGTGCTTTTCTACACAGATTGTTGCAACGATTCCGTACTAATATATACTTCTCTCTATTCAAATCGCTAGGAACTGACTTGTATTTAGCTTTGGCACAATTTTTAATGTGGATGATTTTTTTTATATCATCGGTCAGCCAAGGAGAGGGAGGATGCTTTACACGCACTGGACGAACAGGAGCATGAACGTCGTAAAGTTGAATTAACAGAGAGTTGAACAAAGCAACCTGTTCATCAACAGTAGTTTTTATTATTATACTTTGTGCTTCGTCCTTCTAGATTAGTAACTGAGCTTATTTAACACGGGTATTATCACATCTAAGATCAGCCAATCTAAAAATATAAAAGATAGGTAAAAGTTAAACTAAAAATATAAAAGGTTTTAGTTTACCATTTAGTTCTAGTTCTGGCCATACTCGTAGAAGTAGAAAGGATAAGATAACCATAACAAAATTAACATCAGTGTAGGTATTAGAAAAATTTACGAAATTTTAGTTTCTTACGTCACAACAACAGATTCAAAAGAGCTGCCAGCTACTTGGAAAACGGGTCATAAAACTAATTAAGTTTAGATAAAAAAATTGTGAAAGTAATGATAGGTGGCTAGCCCGACGCCTACACAATCACAAACCCAATATCCCATTAGTTGCCTTTACGACTGGACCCAGTGCTGAACATAGCCCTCCCACAAGGAACGCCACAAAGCCAATGACTTCAAAAGGAAGGATAGGTCCATCTAAATATTTTACTCATAACTTTTTCGTACAAGAGAAAGTAGCGCATCTGTCATAATACAAACGTCATATCATAACACGACGTAACCAGGGTCGGATTTCGTAGTATAATTATATCATTATTTCATAGTTTGTTGTATATAGTATCGTAATAATACTAAGCGAAAATACCATTATTTTACATAAAGGTCGACTTGTATTATTATTGGGTCCTTTTACTTTTTAATTTTAACCCTACGATATCGAGAATTTCTGTATTGTATACATGAGTACCGCGTTTTTTTTTAAATAAAATTAGAATTAGCTCCCTTTCTAATCAATCGGTGCTCGATCGATGCATTTATGTTGCATCCTTAATACTAGTTTTAGTTTTTATCGTGGTAGCCCCTCATTGTAACTACAATGAGGGGCTACCACGATAAAAACTCTATGCTCCAAGAAGCAATCGATTTGAAAACAGAATTTCAAAATATTTTATGAACCACATTTTCAGATTCAATTAAGCAGATATGGTTTCTTTTGTACTCTTTTCGTTTTACCCTTATTGAATATAAACTATGTTAGGTACCAATATTTAAAATTTAACTTACACTAAGTTCTTTAGACAAAAATAAAACAGAAATGAAAATAAAACCATCAAAGTAACGTATATAAAATATATATATATATATATATATATATATATATATATATATATATATATATATATATATATATATGCTAGACGCGTGACGCCAAAATCCCGGCACATGAGAAAAACGAACATGTTACGTCAAACTAATTGTAAAATAAAACTTTAAAAATGTTTTAGTTGTTCGGTCGGCTCGGTCCTTACGCTAGTAATATATAAGTCAATACACAAAGCACGGTCCCGAGTCACCTACGTCTATGGACTTCTTGCATGTCCTACCAGGCAGCCACTCCATCTAGCGAGGGGACGCCCTACTATTCGCCTACCAGTACGAGGCTGTCACTCAAGAACAATCTAGTTTTGAGGTTTTAAAGTATGCCTGACGAGAAGATGTGTCATAATTTTCTGGACACTGCCCAACTGAGTTGAATACGTCGATTGACCTCTCAGTCAAAAGTGAACCTTCCTAGTCGGACTATTTGTCCCAGGTAAACATACTCGTCAACAACTTCGAGCTTAGTGCTCCCAACAACTACCAGCACAGGTGTGACATTGACGTTACACATGACTTTCGTTTTTTCCATGTTCATCTTAAGTATTATCCGTTGGGAGACACTATTGAGGTCATTGAGCATAGTGATTAGGTCCTCCAGCGATTCTGCTATAAGGAAAATTGAATGATTTGAGAAGGAGAAGGTGAGTGATTTACTCGCCGTTAACGATAACACCGTATCCTTTCCAGTCAGAAAGATGATTCCATGAGAAAGATGCTGCTGATCTTCGGCCTTAGTTTTCGTCTGTCGCCTCTGACGACACACACGTGAAGATAAGGGGTAGTGGGTATTCTAACCCGCCATTACACAGGACAAAAATTTAATGTAAGTGTGTGCAAGTGTAAAAAATACGTGATATTCATTCTGTAAATACTAGGAACAGACACAGGCTAGCAGTACCAGTTACTCGACTCCACCGAGTCACTATTTCATTCTTGAGGCGATGTAGACGCTTTTACAACAAAATCCCAGATATATACAAAATTTGACCTGTACAAAGTTCAAAAACTTTATTAAAAAAAATTAGTTTAAAGGGCTTA